CGCTTTGGAAAATAGCTTGACTCCCTCTTCTTTGTGGCAGCCCCTGAGATATTGGAACACTGCTATCATGTCCCCCCTCGTCCTTCTCTTTGTTAAACTAGACATACCCAATTCCAGCAACCGTTCCTTATATGTTTTAGCCTCCAGTCCCCTAATCATCTTTGTTGCTCTTCTCTGTACTCTTTTTAGAGTCTCAACATCTTTTTTACATCGTGGTGACCAAAACTGGATGCAGTATTGCAAGTGTGGCCTTACCAAGGCATTGTAAAGTGGTATTAATACTTCACGTGATCTTGATTCTATTCCTCTGTTAATGCAGCCTAGCACTGTGTTGGCTTTTTTGGCAGCTGCAGCACACTGCTGGCTCATATTTAAATGATTGTCCACTAGGACTCCAAGATCCCTCTCACAGTTACTACTATTGAGCAAGGTACCCCCTATACTATACCTGTACATTTGGTTTTTCTTGCCCAAATGTAGAACCTTACTGTAAATTATGAGTGTCTCGGAGAGGGATAACTATTTCATTTATTAGTTTTTTTTGGCAGGAGTAATGCAGATTTCTAGCAGCTAGGATTAATTGGAGCCTTGGAACATATTGGAAGCCCTTCAATAGTGGGAACATCTCTTTGGAAACAAGCAAAACATGAATGATTGTTGCACCCATTTGTAGAATTTTCCTCCCTAAGTAGGTATATCAAAGACCAATGATATTTTCTTTTTATTGCCAGACAGATATCTCTTAGTTTTCCTAAACATTTTAATATTGTTTTAACAAGAACTGACTCTTGAATTAGAATGTATGAAGATTGATTTGTTTTCTATATATTTTTACAAGCTGTATAATAGAAACATTACTGAATGACAGTATAGGCATTTAATATGACTTGAGTATTTTCATTTCTTTTCTGGGCATCTTTTATTCTTCTTGCTTGAAATCTCCTTCCTACTCAAAGTCTGTTTCAATTACTTTACTTTTCCTGTCTCGCTTAAATTTTACAGCTCTTGTATTTGTCTTGCTGTGAAAATTACACTGGGGAAATATGATGGCATACAAGGACACTTTATGAAATGCTTGAAGTTATGGAAACTACATAAAGAAGTTGTCAATGTTGATCAAGTCACTCAGCCAGCAATTATCTAGTTGATTTGTATGATGATCCATTTGTTTGTTTCCTTAGCTGTCCACAGTACCCTCAGGAGTCTTCTCCAACCTCAAAGTCAGAAGTGTCAATAGTCATCAAAGTCCATTACTTTAAAAAGTTTGTTTTTAATTTCAGGAAAATTGAAGTAAAATTAATAAGGAGAAGCTAGACAGAATACCAGAATCATAGCACTGGAAAACAGCATGTGAGAATTAGCATCTAGATTGAAGGTCCCCAACCTTTGGGGCACCAGGGACCAGTTCCATAGAGAAAGGTTTTTCACGGACCGGACAGTGCGTCGTTTTGTGTGCTGCCTGCATCCCACGGATGGGGCTTTGCAGACCGGTTGCTGTCATGCTATGGCCGGAACTGGTCCATGGACTGGAGGTTGGGGACCCCTGATCTAGATGACTCCTAGATTCTTACAAACACTCACCACATCATGTAGCAGCCAGTCACAAAGTTTCATTTTATATATACATTTCTATATATTTTCTACACAATCATAATAGCAACCTTTATTCCACCAACTAGAAAGGTTGGGGAATGTTGGTCTAGCGGTTAAAGCACCAGACTAGAAAGTAAGAGACTATGAGTTCAAGTAGGGAAATAGGAGGAGGAGGAAGGTGTTGTTGTATATGTTCACTGCCTTGAATTATTTGTAAAAATAATAAAGGTGGGGTACAAATAAAGGGAGAAAGAAATAAAAACATGCCCCAGGCAAGTGAACAGGCTGGGATGAATGCAAATTCTTCTCTATTAATAATGAAGATTTAACAATGCAAATTGTTATAAATTTCATTGATACGAATTTTTATAAAACAGAATTGCTTAATTTTGGTTTAACCGAATCATAGTTTGAAAGGGAGATGTATATGAAAACAAAATGTATGGCCCTTAATTTTCAGAAAGCAAGTATCCACTATCAAAACAAAATATTGTTGCAGGATCTCTCTCTCTCTCTCTCTCTCTCTCTCTCCTTTCCTCTCCTTCCTCTCCCCTCCTCTCCCCCCTCTTCCTTCCCCTCCCCTGCTGTAGAGTAATTCTGGGTCCTATATTTCTCTCTTCCCTCCTCTCAGTGATTTTCCCTACATCCTCTTATTTCACAATCATGCCATCTTCCCTTTTTATTATGGCCATCAATTGCCTCACATATTTTATATCTAGATATTTAACACCATGTACAACTGTTTGTTTTTGTTAGGCAAAACCAGAACAAAAGACAAATACCGTGTTGTATATACAGACCACCAGCGACTGGAACTGGAGAAGGAATTCCACTATAGTCGCTACATCACCATCCGTCGGAAAGCAGAGCTGGCAGCAGCCCTTGGACTCACTGAGCGGCAGGTGAGCGCTGCAGAGACTCTTCTAGTTGCAAACCATCACCCCATTTTTTAAATCATGCAGGCTTACTAAGCAGAGCTGCCAGGGCAGGGGTGGGATTCAACCGGTTTGCACCAGTTCGGCAGAACCGGTAGCTAATTATTTTGCTGACTTCAGCAAACCGGCTGAAGCCCTAGCCCTTTTTCGCAAGACCCAGAACGGACTGCCGGAAGTGCGTGGATGCCACTTCCCAAAGTCCATTCTGGGCCTCAGAGGTCCAGGCCCAGCATGGACTTCCAGAGAACCGGTTGTTCAGGTATTTGAATCCCACCACTGTGCCAGGGTAAATGTTCAGGATATTTAATATCATCTTATACATACAAAAATTTATATTCATTTGGAAATAAATGAATGGACTTTTAGATAAGCATGAAGAATGGTGGATCCATTTGCTTGAGTCTCCTTTTAATTGCTTCCTGAACCATTATATGAGTAAAAGTGCACTCATATTTCACTATACACACTTTTCTGAAATTTGCAAAGCAGTCCCTCCGCAATATTTATCTAAAAGTCCATTCTGTTCCTCTGTGAAAATATGTAACAGCTTCACTAATCATTCACATTAACGGTAAACTATTATAGATTAGGAGGAATTGTTTCCCAAGATCTTCCTTAATCTTACTGCCTTCATTTGTCCTGCAGGTGAAAATCTGGTTCCAGAACCGGCGAGCAAAGGAGAGGAAAGTGAACAAGAAGAAGATGCAGCAGCAAACGCAGCCTGCCAGTACAACCACACCTACCCCACCAGCGGTTGGCACCCCTGGCCCTATAGGCGGCATCTGCAGCAGTACCACCAATCTAGTTTCCACCTCACCAATGACTATCAAGGAAGAATTTATGCCTTAAACCCAGCCTTTCCATTACATCTCCAGACTAACATACCCAGAATCATATGGATTATCTGAGATTCAAACTAGTTGTCAGACTCTCAACACTGGAACCCAGTGGCTTTTTGTATATGCTACTCTACTGGACAAATATAATCAACTCATTCCTAGAAGTTAAAACCAAATAGGCCTGTTGCTATTAGAAAAAAGACTTGCTATTGTCTCAGAGTATTTAAGTGGGGGAAAACATGGACATTTGGGAAAAAAAGAAATAAGGAAGCAAGGTACTTAGAAAAAAAAATCTGAATCTTCATCTGATCTGGATCAGAATTATTGAATCAGGTGACTCACAAGTTTAATTATTAAATTATGTTTTGTCAACCTCTGGTCATTACTCAGGCCTTATTATGTTGGTCAAAAAGGCAGGAGCCAAGTATTTCAAGCCCAGTCCCAGCCAAATTATAGGCCAGGTGAGATGACAGAAGCTGAGCCCCAGTTTTAGCTATATATATACCATTAGGAATTAAAGTCATATTAAAGGCTAAGTAGGCAAGAGAAACAGGTAGGAAAGAACATGACAATCAAGATGGCGAAAAACTAGCCAAAGTCCTCAAGAGCGGTAAGGAAGTCCGTTATTAGCTTCCACAAAACAGGGTCTCTTAGAATGCCAAAGTCCAACGTTGTTTTCTTGCAAATTTTATTAATGCATATATTCCACATCAAAGGAATCTAACTTGGTGTGAGACACTTAGCTTGGAGATCCATGTTTTTCCTAGTTCCTCCCATCATATTCCTGCACAGTGTTTCAGTGTTGAGGATGAGAGCTTGGATTGCCATTCTACTTAGCAAGAGATTTATCTGAAGGGGCCTTGATGCTCTCTGAGCTTGCTTGTTTACATGCAGACTCTTCATTACCTGAACTAGGTAACATCATCAGTACTATTCTGATTTATCTGTTATTGCCTCTGGATTTATATTCCTATGAAGGTGAGGATTCTGGCACCTGCAGCCCCATATCATCAGGGGCAGTCCTAATGAAAGGCTGCTCTAAAGTTTCTCTGGCTGTAAAACAGGAACTCTGGGTATGGACCACAGTGCTTCATCTTCATGGTCAACAATTTTAATGGTATGTGGGAAAGACATTGGGTGATGAGTGGAAAGACGCTGCCTAGATAATGGTCAGATAAGAAACAGCATAGCCTTAGTGGGTGGAACAAGAAGCTCAGAAGGGACACACCATAATTTTTCAGGCTGTAAAGGAGACTGTGGGAGAATTTTACTTTCAGACTTGCAAGATTCTGTTATATAGCTTTACAATAAAGTAGAGTTAGTTTATCTGGTTGTGTTTTCTGTCTGGTCTACCTGGTAAAGATGACTGCGGTGCACTTCATGTATGTAAATCCAATCATTGTGGGGTTTGTAAATATACCTTATGGCATAATATTTTGTGCCAACTAGGCCCACTACGTTTTATTTAAGAAACATGGTTAAAACAATGCCTTCCCACAATGTGGGAACTCAGTCATGATTTCCCTATATGAAGAAAGGAGCAGAATGAATCAATAAGACCAGGACTCCACTTTTCACTGACTTGCTCCGCTACCAGTACTCTAATTAAACTTGTAGGAAAACTTCACCAATTCTTTAAAATGGACGTGGGCATCTTCTTTGTTTGATTTATAGCTGACAGAAGAGGGCATAACCTCAAAATGGAATTCTAAAAATAAAATAAAATAAAATAAATCAACTTATTTCCCCCTTACATCTTTGCTTGATTTCCACTTATAGCAACCATTACATGCAAAGAGATGCAGAAAATATACATTAGCTGGATTCACCCATTGTGTTAATCTAAGGTTTGCTGAACAAGCACCAGTGGCAGACCATAATGACTGAGTTTACACAAACAACAGTGGTGGCAAACTACAGTGGCAGAGTTTATCTGTTAGCGAAACAAAAACTAAATTATTAAACAAGCAAACCACATTATGACTTAACCTGGTGTGGATCAGTAGTAGCGATCAAGAAAGTCATTATCACAATCACACGACTGCAAGATGCTGTAACTGTCATAAATGCAAACCAGTTGCCAAAGTGCTTGAATTGTGATCACGTGACCATTGGATGGCGTGATGGTCATAAATTCAAGGGCAGGTCCTACAATAAGTCACTTTTCCCAAATCCATTGTAACTTCAAACACTTGTCAAATGAAGGTCATAAGTCAAAAATTATCTGTAGCTGATTGGATTACTTTCTTTTACCCTCTTGATATACATTTGGCTTTGAACTAATTGCTTTCTTCTTGTAGACTGCCTTACTCTTCTTCCTCAACTTCACAATCTGCAGTACTTGGTAACAAAAACAAGTTTATGTTTCTTCACTCTGCCTGCTCAGGTTTGTCTTGTTTGCATGTGTTTTTAAGGTAATTTTATAAGCCTAAACAATTAAAAAAAATCTTTCAGATTTTTGTTATTATCCTTCAGTCTTTTTTATGAAGTACATTAAAGTACTATTTTGAAGTCTGGAAGTGAGGAAGGAGTAAATAATAACAATACAATGCCATCAAACAAGCTGACCAGAGTTGTCTTATCAGGGAGATGGGCGGCATATAAATTGAATAAATAAATACATAAATAAAATAAACAACAAGGCCTGCCTATCCTAGGTCCTTGATCCAGAAGGACTCAAGAGGTGGATAAAGATGCCAAATCCTGTCTAAACAACTAATTATATTCCATTTTTATTTTTGTACAACTTGAGGTGGAGTACATAATACTTCTGCCTATTTTCCCACAACAATCTTGTGAGGTAGGTTGGGCTGAGACAATGTGGCCATATGCCTTTTTTAATTTAGAGCAAGGGTGTCTAACTGCCAGCCCGTGGGCCAGTTGCGTCATGCCAAAACCACGCCCACCCCATTGCCGGCAATGGAGAAAAAGTCGTGATACGTCGCGACATGTCATGTGACTGTTGCGAATTTGACACCCCTGAATTTAGAGCATGATAGATACTCTTAGTAAGGCAAAGGATATTTTTAACGCTACAAATTACTAGACTTGAATTATTAAATGGCTTTCTATAGGGCAGAAGATTTTTGCAACATACTCATTTCAGTAATAAACAGGGCCTTTCTTGGCTCAGCACTGCTAAAAGCTAACAATAAATGCATTTATTCTTCATAGGAAATATTTGTGGAATATTTTTGTTTCATATCTGAAGTTTAGTCTATTATATTTGGGGCATCACTATCAATTCATTATGTTTCATTTAATTCACTTTGAATTTGTTTAATTAAACTACTATTACTAAACTTTCTTTCAAAACCTTTGTTTCTCCCACATTAAAGGACGGGTGCAAGGAAGATCTATTTCCAATTGTTTCCTAATCTTAAGATTATATGCATATAAAAAGTTTGCTGAGTTAGATTGGATTGTTTTGCTGAATTTTGCTCTGTAAATAAATCAGTAAGATCTAAATATACAGAAAATAAAAAGAACTATAATAAATTATTCATGCATCCTCTTATTTGTTTTTATTTTCTGGAAGTTATCAACTAATCATTTTGATTAGGTGTGATTACTGAGAAATACCTCTCTTGTTTGAACTAAACCTGTTTTCAGGCACTCGGCAATGATGTCAATAACTTCATAGCATACTGTGTTATAATAATGTAATCATGATAATAATAAACATCATCTGCATTGACAAAATTATCATTAGTCAATTCCAAAAGGCAGCTTTACTTGCAACAATTTACCTTTAACACCATCAAACCACAACATCAAGCTGCTCAGAGTCACCTTGAACCATGAGGGGGGGAAAATAAATAAATGTGATAAATAAAAATAAATAAAACATCTGGCTATCCCAGACCTTGGGAAGGACTCAGTAGGTGGATAAAAATGCCAAACATCTGGCTGACTGTGTGCCCGACCATAATCTGCTTCTATTAATGTTAATCCATTTCTTGTCAATCTTTGCAAATATTACTTTTGCAAAAAAAAATACACGGGCAGCTTTCACACACATGAAAGAAACTTTTAATTCTTTGTTACACTCATGTCACATTTTAAACCAATTTATTTTGTTTTGAAGCTCAGGATGTGGGGCTCTTTTGGACTGTTGACATCTTAACAAGGGGGCAGCCGAGGAAAACGAAGGGAAGGGCTGCTTTCTTAGGGCCAAAGACCAAGGACAGTGAGTCATAAACAATTAGTTACTCTGGATTTCTAATCTTGCTTTATGACTGTCCCCAGGCTGACAAGCCCCCATCTAAGAACAGCAAACATAGAAAGATGGTTTGAGATTAGCACGTGAAGCAGCTGGCACTGGTGTCTTTGGGACAGAATACAGTCAACACTTCGCCATTCCTTGAGCTTAATTGCTTTGTGACTCACATTGCTTCTACTTGTTGACACCAGGACTAACTTTGCAGATGGCACTTTGTACAAATGTACTGTGGAATCAGGATGTCACTTGGGGACAGACAGAGATTCCAGAAGGAAGGCAGTAAGAGTCTGTTCACGCTGAGTAACTGTTGAAAAGCCAGGTCCAACTTTGGGTGTACCTCACATAAGGAGGATGACATTATATGCGAGCCATTTTACAAACTGGGTAGGGCTAGATTTGACAAGTGCCTGCTAAGTATATTAGAACCCTATTATATTTAGAACTGTTCTGATGAAGATTAACCAGCCATTTTGGAGAAATAATTTAAGATCTCATGTATTTACTAGCTGCATAGAGGAGGCTTTGGAACAGATTGGTTTTTTTCGCAGTGTTGAAAAAAAAATAGATATGGCTTATGCTGATATTTGCTTGTTATAGAACAAAGCTGTGTCATAACATTTGATTACTCTGTATCATTCTCTCTGTCTCTCTGTCTCTGTCTCTCTCTCTCTCTCTCTCACACACACACACACATCCCTTAGAACAATGGTAGGATTTAGCCAGTTTGCACCACCTCGACAGAACCGGTAGTTAATTTTTTGTTGCCCAGGCCCAAAATGGATTTCTGT